GTATGTAAATATTAAGAAAAGGAGTAAAATAACAAAAAAAAAAAAAAAAAAAAATTATTAAGTCGACCCAACAGAATGTAATTAATCACAACCAGTAAAACTGTTGCAACCACCAACAGTTTTATTCAAGATAAATGTCAATCTTCAATGCAGATCACTTTCATCTGACCCAACCAGATAGATGGAGGTCTTAATACTAATTTGGGCCAAAATAAAATTTAAAAAAAAAAAAAAAATTCTGAAATTAGTTTCACCCACAAATTCAACAAAACAAAAATAATCAGTAAACACAATCAAGTTCTTTAACTCAGTTCTGTTGAGATGGTGGGTGAACATATTTCCAGAACATTAAAAAATGAAATTAAAATATTGAAACTAAAATTTTACAATTACCAATTCAATTTACAATGCCATTTATACAGAAGTTGGTTGTTTTTGTTTAGCGGCATAAATATTTTGTATGCATTTTTGGGTGGCGGGGAGATAATGGTTTTTACTGATACAAGTCATAGAAATTAACCCATATCTGGAAGGGAGAAAAAGTGGATTTATACCTTTCCACAAGGGTATTTGTATGTAAGTGAATATAACAAACTCAACTGGAATTGAACCTCAACTCTCCAATTAACAATTCCAAGCCATTATCCATTATACAACCTGCACATCCAAGCTTACAGACCTATAGAGGTACTGACCAGGCTCGATGTTGTTTAACTTTAGAGATTGTATGAGAATCGGTCTTTCAATGTGAAGTGTCTGTAAGAATTTACAAGGTAATTTTGAAACTGTCGACCAAACATTTTTTTTTTTGTGTTTTGTTTTTTTATGAAGGGTATTCCAATAACTTGGACCAATTTTAAAATGCGAATTAATTTTAAGCATCTAATGATTTTTTTCTTTTAGATTTGGTGGACATTTGGGTGATATTATTTTTCACACATAATTGCCATGACTTAAATAACATGATGCAATAGAGAAATAAATTTTCACTAATAACACTAATTTATTTACTGCTGACTTTGATCCATCTTAATGAAACACCCTTTATAAAGCAGACATTAAATACCACTAATAACAATGCAATGTTTCATATAAATTAATGAAAGGTATGAAATGTGAATGTGTAAGTGGTGCAATGGTTAGTAGTTTGCTTGGAAAGAGAAACCAGTAAGCAGAGTTCTTTAAATCTTTGCAGAAATACCCTTGGAAAAGTTATATGAATCCATCTTTTCTTCCCCTCTCCACACCAGCTAAGAGTTAAATAGTAGGGTTGACTGGGTTCTCTAGCCTCGGTTGGCAACCAGTATAGAAATGGTGACTTACATCCACCAGTAGAGCCTAGGCCACTTTCAGGAATAGTGAAGAAAAAAATTCACAATGACAGAAATGCTTAAGTCATATGTATTATGCCTTCTGCCACAGGCAGATACATGTATTTTTTTTTTAAATGAAATTCTGACTGCAAATTTAGCAACATATTTGTATAGGCATCAATAAATGGTGGATTTTCAGTGATGAAATAAAGGAAAAACATTTTGCTGATAAAAACTTTTGAACAAGACAGTACAAGTCCCATTATGTGCAAATGAAGTAAAAGAGACCTACCCCACTCCCTACAGACCTTCTCTGAATTCACTGTTTGGCGAAAGTAGAGATTTTTGAGTTAAAAACTTTTCTTTGAGGGCAGACCAATATCAGTTTCAGAAAGATTTATTGGAAAAATTTTACTCTTAATATAGACTTAGTATAGATTAATATAAAAATGATCACAGTCAAGAAAAAGGTTTAACTGCATTCACAACCTTTCCATCAAAATGCAGTAAATCCTTCTACAGAACCTGCTCATTCTGTTTTCAATATACTCAGAAGGATACCGAGAAACCATGGACCAAACATGTGAGTAACAAGGTTTTAGAGAAAATGCAAACAGAAAGCACACTTATACTTAACATTGGGAAGAGATAGTTGAAATTTCTAGGGCACATAATGAGGAAAGAGGGGGGGTTGAAAAAAATTGATCATCAATGCACAGATTGAAGGCAAGAGGCACAAAGGGAAACAATGCATAACCTACCTAGAGAGATTGAGTAAGTGGATGGCAGAGAGAGGTTTAGGAGAAATAAAAACACAATATTTATTAAGATCTACAAAGGACTTGAAATTGATACCCAGCATCCTGAAAGGACACAGCACATAGAAGAATTCAGTATCATCCATATACACAGACCTTACACAATTTATTCTGATGATTAAGTAATAGTAATCGTGACTGTATACACTTTACCATACAATGGCCTGAAGAAAACCCAGACAATTTTCCAGATTTCAATATCTAGTAGGACAACATTCAGTTTCTGAAAATCTGGCAGTGAAAGAATTAGGAAATGTTGAATGATAGTCATAATGAAGATTTTTGGACAGGTGCTAGCAAAAGCTCTCCACAGGTAAACCAATATATTTTTTAAGTGTGAGAGAATTTGATAACTATTGGTTCAACTTTGTCAGTTGACTTTCAAATGGTCAGAGGATAGGAAGACAGCCCAATTAAAAGGCTTAAATTTTTTTTTTCTGGAATCAAATCTGATCTTGGTCTTCTCATTTAGAAATAAATTACAAGGAAATTTCAAAGAATGGTCTGTTTCAGGAACTATTGGTAGGTAATGATGGAAGCTCTGAGAGATCATTCTGAGTGGGTCAAGTGAAACATTGAGATATATGCCAAGATCTAAGTCTTGGATATTCTTTGAGAAGTTGAGAGTAAAATCCTGAATGTAAAGTTGAGTTGAGAGAGACAAAGTGAGAGTGAACAATTATATATAAAAAAAAAGAAAAACTAAAAACAACTTCTGATAACTTTCAAATAGCTATGCATGTGTGAATAGAAAAGTAAAAGCATTTAATCTAAATTTATTATGACGTCACAATTTAAAAGCACAGTCTGAATGAAAGACTTGAAAGAGAAAGGGGTTTATATTCTTTAATTCTTTCCCTTAAAAAAAAAAAAAAAAAAAAAAAAAAAAAATCAAACAAACACACACAACTTACACCTGTGTATATGTGTATATGTGTATATATGGGTCTGCATACTCAAATACATAGCAAAAAGTTAGTGTTAGGAGTGGTGTTTAAAAAAAAAAAAAAGTTATGTGAATAGGTTTTGGAATTCGATACAAAGTGCTAATTTTGTTTTACAAATAAGAAAGCCCAAATGAAAAATGTCTTCAGCAAATACAAACCTGTAAAATAGCACCTCAAATTGAGGTTTGTGACCTACTGTATTTCAGGTGGTGTACACCATTTGTATTTAACGGTATATGTGGGACTGGTGTAGCAGGCAAAGATTGATTGTTTCGCCCAAGCTACTAGGGAACATATAGATGCTCACTGAAAACTGACCATCAGTTAAGTAGAGGTGGATACAATATTGATGTTATTGGCTTACTAGAACAAATGGACAAACAATATTAGGAGCAAAATAGTTGCTTTTTTATGCCCACATATAAGCTTGAACCAAGAACCAAGCCACTGCATGCAACCCAGGCAGAGGTTTTCAGTGCTTAAAACGTTTGCAATTGTTGTGATTAAGTTAATATCGTTAGCACTAAAGCATTTATGGGAAGAGTGTAAAACAAATGACAATATATACAGGTTGTGTCAAATAGATTTTATATACCAAAGAAAAAGTTTAATACAAAGATCAAAAAGAAAAGGTGGATAAAAAAAAAAAGAAAAAAAAAAAAAAAGAAAAAAAAAGCAAGCAATATATAAAATTCAATCAAGGTTAATCAACAGTCTGTCATTAAATGTGGCACAAATCGATCACTGGACAGCTGATCTGTCCATTGCAATTTGAATTTTATCTAAAAACAAAACAATTGAAATATGACAAGTTATAAAATTTAATTTCCAATACTAAAAAACTGCACAAAAAAAAAAAATTTATATTTATTTTGTTCAGGTTATTGTAAATTTTGTTACCCCCTTAAAACTAACACTTTATCCATTATTATTTTGTATATTCTTTACGGATTGTTACAAATTACTTCAACCCAAATATTGATTTGATCAGAGTCAATGGTATAGAAGACATCTAGATAGAATTGTAAGTTTACATTAGTATAATGTAATTGATATTGATAACTGGTAAGTAAGTTGATCAGAAATTTTAAATTTCTTAATTATCACTGGCAATGTGAGTAATATATAGTTTTGTGACTATCACTATCTACCCCCAACCCCCCCAAAAATGGGGAGTCGGAAAAAAAAAAGAAAAAAAGGATTGGGCAGAGACTGCTGTTGATTGAATTTTCAACTTTTGGTATCAATATAGATTAATATAGGTCCTTAAAAAAATAATAAAATAAAATAAAAAAAAAAAAAAAAAAAGTAATAATAATAATAATAATTTCATGAAATATGTGCCAGTGGGAATGAGAAAAAAAATTGTTTTATAAAACAGACAGAAAAACCTTCAATGAGAAGTAAGAGGAAGATTTTGAGACAGAAAGATAAAAATTCTGCAGTTGGATCAAGAATAAACTTTTTTGGGTGGGTGGCAGGGGCTTTTTCTTTTTTCTTTTTCTTTTTTTCATATAAAAAAATTCATAAAACAAAAGTAAAACCTATCCAATTTTACAAGTAAGAAAATCTGTACATGGCAATTTTTTTAAATTTCCTGAAATTATCTCAGATAATATAAATGGGTGGACAAAAGAAAAGCCCTTACAAATATGTTTTTTTTTTTTTCACTTTTGAAGTGCAATGGAAATTTTATTTTTTTATTTTTTTTTTTCATCAATTTTTAATATTTTTGCATTTTTTTTTTGTTTGCAAGAGTGGCTTTTGCTTTCAGCAAAGTTAAGAGTAAAAAAAAAAATTATTTGGTGTTAATGTTGGTATTTATAAAAAAAAAAGACGATGGTCCCGTCAAATCTTTGTTCTTTAAGCAGTATTTTGCAGCTGTGTCGATTGATGCAGTTTCTAGTTTCTTTGAGTCAGATTTAAAATTCCCACAAAGTAGAAGCATTTACTTCTTTACCACTGGCTTTGAAGATGCCATTCTGTTCACCTTTCAGGTAGCAACCATCTGGGGCTTTCACTGTGAACATGGCCTGTCCACAGAATTCTACAATGAATGGAGTAGGCCCAGTGCTGTCAGCAAATAAGGATTTATCATCACCAATACTCCAGTATTTTCCATTATGACCTGAAAACAGAAACAAACAGAAAAATTCATAGCTAATCAACAAGGTTATCTGGTTAATGGCTGAAAAACAACGTTTCAGAATATTTGAAAGTAGAGGGTCAAGATTTGTTCTTGTTCAGAATCATTGAAAATAAAAACAGACACATTTTATATATATATATATATATATATATATATATATATATATATATATATATACCACCGATGTGATGAGAACGAAAGTAATATATAAATTCCAACATTCACAGCATTAATCCAAAAGAGGGCTCGATACCGATAGTAGAGCGGTAATTGTTTATTCATTTATTATAATTTTATCATATAGACAAAACCATTTTACTCACTACAAAGATGCAACTTCGTTTCAGTGCATTTCAACTGCACTTTGACAGGTGAGAATTGAAAATGATCATGAACAATCCTGCTTGTAGGCAAGCCGTGTGTGAAATATACATAAAGAAAAAAGAAAAGGTGGCAGAGTGAAACAATAGTGCTTGTTGATATCCGTTTGGTGAAGAATGGATTGGGTGTTTAATGTTGACTGGTCTGTGGAGATTTTTCTTGCTGATAAACACCAGTCAAAAGTTTAGGCACATCATCTCACAAGCGTCCTAAGAGTGAAAGGTAGGGGAGGAGAGGTGGAGATAGGGGATAGTGATACGTTGGAGTAGGTAAAATTCTAGCGATAGTTCTAGTAGTAATTGGGAATGTTATTTTTGGTTTACTATAAAAAAAATCTAGAGCTGAATTGTATATATTTATGTTGGGGTTATCACTCTTAATTCTGTAATCAATGAAAGTGTTTTGTCGATTAAAATTTAGAAGTGATTTCCTCTAAAAAAAAAAAAAGGGATACAAATATAACCTTTTATAATCAAATTTTGAAATATTCCTGGACCGTATAGTGTGTAGAATAAGTATAGGTGTAAAACAATTTATCTGAAAATATTACCAGTAATATATATGAAAAAAAAATTTTTTCAGAATCATAATTTAATTAGTGGAGAGGTACATAAGAGGGCAAGGAATATATCAAAGGAGATTATTTATAATTTTAAACCATTTATAGTTATGGAATTAAGAATTTAACAAGATTGTAGCATTAGATCCTTAGTATGTCTACAAAAAACAGTGGTTTCATACCTTTGGTTTAATAGTTTGGTGTTATTCAAGAGTTCAATGATACATATTTTCTCCCGTAAACATAAGAAGCAAGGCTCATTCAGAGAATTGCAGGTTCTGGCTTGTCTTAGGATTTTCCATTTAACCTTAGGTGTTTTTCCTTCTTCCTTGAGTTTCCAAAAATATTTCGAAAGTGATGTCATATTGCATTTGGCTGCATTTATAAAAGAGTTCATGCACTTGTAATAACTATCCTTGAAAGATCTGCTAGTTGACCCCACATACAGCTTAATATCTCTGGGGTTCACATTTGATGAGATATAGCACATATACACTATAGATTTGGTTAAGCACCTGTTTAATAATGGAGATTGGTCGGGGATTTTATATATATATATATATATATATACAAACACACACACACATACATACATATATTTCTCTCAGAATTAATCTGTAGAAAGAGACTATATGAAGGAAAAAAAACAATAGGAAAACTGTATGTAGTTGTTTATATGAGTGGACGAAATGTGTCAGCTAAAACTACATACAGTTTTCATATATATATATATCTCATGTATATTTCAAATATGAATAGACACTATAATAACGTTTGAAGTAATAAAAATAATCTGTTAATTCTTAAATATACATTTCCTACTACTTCAAATGTTATTTGAAAGACTTAAGAAACACACACACAAGTCAACATTGATGTCAACACTCAGAGGCAAGAGGCTGTTTCATGCTAGGTGAAATCATCAGGCCGCCTGACGATTGCGCCTAGCATGAGGCCGCCTGTCGCCTCTGAGTATTGATTTCAATGTTGACTTTTATATTTACATACACTATCTCTGATATTGAGCACTTTATCCCATAAATATACCACAAAAGATACATACATATACACACATATATATATATATATATATATATATATATATATATAAAATGAAATGAACAAAGTCCGACAATTATTTTAAGACATTTTTATGTTTATACATTCTTTTTATAGATACAAATAATTGCTGTACTTTGTCCATTTCATAAGGTGTGACGTCATTTGTTTACATTTGATACGCCATGAGCAGATATGAATGTACGCAAGAGATTCATAGAAAATTGAAGTTCAAATACAGTAAATTAGACTTTGCTACCCGAACGCTCCTCCGTAGCCAAATCAAGCCAAGGCACGTCAATCTATGATGGTTCCGTATAGGATACAGGTTCAAATCCTGTCGGTGGATGAACATTTTCTGTAAAAATTTCTGACATTCAAGCTGGTAAATGTTGTTTAATACTGTTTATTATAAAACAGAGCATTTACTTAAATATTTGCATCTATAAAAAAAGAATGTAAAACATAAAAATGTCTTAAAATAAATACATATATATATATATATATATATATATATATACACACATACACACACACACATTTGTTTTGAGTTAGATTTATGAGTTAAAAAGTGCTCAATATCAGGGATAGAGTATGTCAATATAAAAGTGGATATTGAACTCAACATCCATCAATGACAGTTTGTTTCATGCTTAAACACAATCTTCAGACCTGAATTGTCAATGTAGGGTGTTGATCTCAGTGTCCACTTTATATACGTATATGAAATAATATATATTTCTATATGTCCAAAAACAATATTGGGGAAATTGTATAAGTTTAAAGTTCGATTAATACAATCAGGTGAAAAATAATATCAACCAAACAGAGAAGAGGAAAATGAAAAATTCAACTGCCAAAATCAAAATAAATGCCTACTAAATGGTAAATCTTTAATTAGTAGTATTGTATATGCAGCTAATATTAAAATATAATAATTAACTAAAGTACTTTTTTGGTTTGACAGAACGAGAGTGGAAGCTAAAACACACACATTATATATATATATATATATATATATATATATATATATACACACACACAATCTTTTCCTAGACTATAGCCTACACATTTACAAACACAGATGTGAGGAGATGGGCACTGATCATTTAAGCATTCCATATCACATCCCAAACAAATCTACAAACAGAAGACAACAATTGTGCTTTCACTCCCTGAGGGGTTATGCTGATGACATAGGTATACATAGTTGGGATAAGAATGATCTTGAACAGAAAATCAATGTCTACTGCCAAGGGTTCCAAGAAATAAGACTCAAATAAACCTTTCCAAAACAGAAACTATGATCTGGAATTGGAATGAAAACAGTGATGGCACATACTCTGAATGCATCATAAAAATTCAGGATGTGTATTCAGTAAATGCTAAACACTTCAGTATATGGATCAGTTATAACAAATTTAGCACAGAAGATAAGGAAATTGAACATGGAGTAAGCTGCACTAAAGTTAGTTTTGCCCAACATCGCAAATTTCTAAAGAACAAAACATTAACCTGAAAACTCAAGCCATCTTAAATAGCATTACCTATCATGCATTGTGCCAAACTTATTCAGAAATATCTAAACTGTCTACAACTGCTTTCTAAACAATGGTTAAAAAATGGCTTCGAGCTACAGAAACACAAAGAACTGTACCAAATAACAGAAACCACATCCCTTGAGGATTTCAACAGCAGCAACAATTAAAATGGATAGCACATGTAACTAAAAGAGAAAATAATGATATTATTAGATGTTGTAATTCCACACTAGTTCAAATAAAATGTTTGGAAGAAACCCTCTGGACCATGTCAATACCAGAAAGAGTGATAACAGCAACTGGACTTGAGAAACCTATTTTCCTGAAAAATTGTTTTTAAGAGAAAATTTTTTATAAATTTCAACAGACAATAGTACTAGCTGCTCATTCAATGCATGCTGAATATTTATCTTATAAAGAAATGGCTAATATTACCATTACTATTAAAATTTGATATATTTATTGAGAAAGGAGGGGGAACTCAATATTAGATAGAACATTTGTAGATATGAACAGTGTTGGCATAAAAATCAGCACATGTTTGTATGAAGAATCCATTGGTCAAGAGAGACCATGAACTGAACCTGGAGAGGGAGCTTGGAGAATTTGATACTCAAAAGGACATACTGAAGGCAAGAGGGACAGAGGAAAACAGCAAGTATTCTATCTAACATGCTACTGTAAATGGATATTGAGACAGGGTGGTGGGAAAGTTGGTGAAAAACAATGCTACAAAGGATAGAATCTTGTGGAGCATCATGATCGCCCATGTTCTGAAAGGACACAGATCACAGATTACATCTAGGATGTTGTCAAGAAGAACAACAAGTTGCTCTACAATACAAAGAACCTGAAGACTGCTACAACAGCTGTGAAAGTCATTATAAATGAGAACTACCTGATCTGCTTGCTTTGTTCTGATGAACTTTTTTCAATGGTACTTAAACTTTATGAATTTAAGTGCAATACTAGATTGGTGGCAAGGTCATATTTTACAGATGATATGGCTCGATATAACCATAAGTTCTATGCTAACATTTTCTTTTATCACACTTCTTACTTGTGGAACTCTTTTCTAGCTTCATGCTTTCTAGTCAAATTTGATCTACAAAAATTTAATTGCAATGTCAATTGTTATCTTCAGTATTAATTCTTTCTTTTTATTGTTCTCTTCTTAATAGTGTTTTTTATCATATTCTCTAAGTAACCCCTTCCATTTTAGTGGCTTTATTGCTTTGCTTGGAGTGAAATGAATAAAAATATAGTCACTTTTGAAGCAGCATCAAGGCCAGCTGATGATGGTTTAATTAAATATCCTGTTTTTCTTTGTTGTAAAACATCTCAACCACATTTCTAGAACCACTCTTGTTCGGTCAGCAGTATCTGTGGCATTGTAGTCGTATTGCAGGATGAGACCATCATACAAACATGTTTATATTTCAACAGCTAATGCTCTGTCTACCCAGTATTTTACACTATCTGTCTGAATTGTCTGACTATGCAGTATGAAGTTTATTATCAGCACACCATTTACATTTGAGAAATGTCACAGATTTTTTCACCAACTTTATAAACTGTTTTATTTACATGTGGACTATTGTCCTTATCTTTCTTATCACAACGTTTCAGCCATTGTGCCCTTTGGACTTTATAAGATGTATATTGATCTGGGTAACCTACAGGGAATTCTGAATTGAACCCTTTATTCAATATACAGGAGTAAATTATTTTCATCCTACAGTACATATCTAGGGATATTTTGTCTTGTTTTTCTTTCTTTAAATACTGATTAATTACCAAAGAGGAAAGCTCAATTGCCATGAAAATATTTATAGGAAAGGTACAGAAAAATTACATTAAAGTGGTGGGAAAGTGACTGAACCCAAGATGCCAGGTCAACATTGATAACATTGCAGATTCTACTTTGGATTTTATCAAGAATCTCTAAGTATGTAGAAGAACCAGACCTCATTTGTCACATGCTTTGTCTACTGTGTTCTTAATATTCATTGGTATAACCAGATATGCCACTCAAGTTTTTTCTTCATTTGTAATGAAATTGCCCAGCATTCACTGTCATATAGTAAAATCCTTACTTAACCCCCTTAACTATGGTCAGAGCAGCTTGGTTTCTAAATATTGAACCATGGAACTGCAAGGATTTTAAGTTCTTATCTGCAGTTAAAGGATTTACAAGACCCAAATTCTAATAAAATTAGTTACTAATAACTTTCCAAGTGAACTGAACCATGTGGCATTTAGGAAACAGTTTCAGATATTTTGATCAATACATAAATAATTCAATACATACATTCATACATCCAAGAACAAATCCTATATAACATATGTATCAGGTTGGTTAGTTGTTTTTGTTTAGTGGCATACCAACTTCCATAGGTTGTTTAAAACACAAGTCTATAAATCTTGTATGCAGTTTTATTTTAGTTATTTACTTTTGGGAAATTATAATGGTTCTAGTGGTACAAGTCTTACTAATTAGCACACAGCTGGGCAGGGAGAAAAGGTGAACTCATACCTTTTCCTCAAGGGTATTTGTACATAAGTGAATATGACAAATCCAATTGGAATTTAAACTCAGCTCTCCGATTAACAATTCCAAGTCATTATCCACTACACCACCCACACATCCAGGCTTACAGCACCTGGTATTTCCAAGTGGTCACCTAACTAGGTACTGACCAAGCTTCAGTGCTAACTGGTATTTCAATGTGATGTGGCCATAAGTCAGATGTATCAGATGATCACAGAGTTTATATTTGAACTTTATCTGTTCTAAGTAGTAATGCCATTAAGAAAGGCATGAATATCACCCTACACCCCCTAGTTGTAGGGAAAATAGTAGGATAGACTAGGCTCTGTAGCCTTGGATAGCAGCTAGCCAAAGAGAAAACTGAATTCCAGACTGTGGAGAAGGCATCAAATAGTCATTACTCATGATAATTCACAGATAAAAAGAAGTAGTGTATATATATATATATATATAGATAACTAGACTCATTTAGGTGAAACCTAGGTAGGTTTCTCTGGCTCACTAGGTATATATATATATATATATATATATATATATATATATATATATATATATATATATATATATATATATATATATATAGAGAGAGAGAGAGAGATATGATTGCTAAAAGCCAATTATAAAGATGTTCTAAATTCCTAACCAACAAACAAATGATGGCACTAATATGACTAATTTTTGAACAGCTGCATGATAAATAGCTTCAAGTTCTTTTTATTACTTTTTAAATCATTTCACCCTAAGCAAGGCAATAAATCCACAAGGACTTAATGAGTGTGAAAGAATATGAAAAAAATATTAAAAGAAAGAGAACAATAAAAAAACTGAACTTACGATAGAACTATCGACCCTGAATTTAATTTTTTAAACATCAAAACTTACTAGAAAGCAAGACAGAAGAGCTCTGCAAGTGAGAAGTGCAAGAAGAAACTTAGCATAGAATTTATGGTTCTACCTAACCATTTCAACTGTAAAAATGATGAGATCTAACAGCCAATCTAGTACTGCACTTGAATTCATAAAGTCTAAGAATCAAAGAGGAAAGTCTATCAGAACAATTACCATGAATATTTATCATATTTATAGAAAAAAAAAAACTCAATTTTTTTTTACTTTTGGGTCAGTTTTGTTAAATATTGAATGAATACAATTAAAAAAAAAAAAAATAAACACTCACCTTTAAAATGGTAAATTCCACTGTTTGTTGCTTCCAGTAAAATCAAGTCGTACACCGATTTGTTACATACATATTCTGCCTTAGGAGAATTTGCAACTTTGAAGGCTACAAAGCCATATTCTCCTTTCATTACAAGGGCTGGTCGATTAACCAATCGGATTCGGAATTTCTCTTTAGCTGACACAGAATCACTGCCAGCTACAAGACTGCCGGTTAGTTTATTGTAGACATAATTGTTGTTATGTGCCATTATGGTAATGGAACCATCTCGCTGCCAGGTAATGTCAAAAAGACATGTCTTCTTTCTATAAGAGAGAAATAAAACAAATTTTAGTTTAAATTAACATCATATTAGAAAATCCTAGCTGATTTGAAATTCAACTTTAGTTTAATAAGCATCCATTAAAAAGGTGGTTCTAACCAACAGGTATTACAAGTTGCAGTGTTTTAAGTATTCAGAAATACAAAGTTTGACAGCAGAACTGAATAAGTGAACCCCCCTCCCACCTACTTCAATCAATTTGTGGGAAATTTTCCTACCCATAGATCTATACAAGGTAGTTATTTCCATTAACTACAAAACTAGGTATTCTATTTTAAACTTCTATTTTAAGAGGATCACAGAAGCCTTTACATTTTATAATTTGCAGTCACTTTTTAAAAGCACATTTAAATATAAACATAGTATAAAAACAAAGCAACTTGATATATTTATTGTCCATGTATGACAAGCTTAAAAAAAAAAAAAAAATTCTTGTTTAATAGTTAAATGACAGATTGGTGATTAAAAAAAAAAAAAAAAAAAAAACTGCTACATCATGCTCTTTGTACCGGTCATAATATAATTTTGTGAAAATAAATAAGATGCATTACTTTTTGAGTATCCCTTGAAGGGTGTGTGTGTGTGTTTTATCTAAAAATTAGATTCAGAAGTTACAGGATTTAACTACAAGATAAATTAGAATGTTATTTTTTTGGTAAGGTTTTTATTTGATTTTTTTTTCTCCTCTTTCAAGTTCTGAATGTACAATATCTGATATTCATCTTTATTTTTTCTTCTTTCTCAATTTGATCCACACTGTGCATGAGGTTTAATTTACTCACTTTAAAATCAAGTGTGGGGAAGCAAAATTGCCATGACCTTCAAAACTTGCTTGATGGTATCAATGTTTGGATGGGGGTTTTGTTGGCAGCATGCTCCAAAACACTCCACATAACAGGCACAGATCAGAGTTAATGGAGAGCCAGAAATCACAAATACTAGCACTGCAGAACTTTCACACATTTTTGGTCATGTGGCTAGGGGTATTGTTCTGTGTCCGCAAACAGTTGCCATCTAGCTTTGAGACATAACAAAAGGTGACAACTCAGGAGCTTATAGTAATGCATCAATCCCACATTTTCTCCAATCTTGGACATCTTTTTGGAGGCTACGATACCCAAGGCCATGATATTTAGTTCTGAAGGTGCCATTGACACCTATTGACTGCAATGTACCAGTTATTTCAGCCATCCAGTGTGAAGATTTTATCAGAGAATATTTTAAGTATGGACACAGGATTCTTGAGATACTCAAAGACTCTTGCATCTTTCCTGCTTCTTGGTCACCATACACTTCACATGAAAGTTCACTTGTTAAATTGTCTATGATTTGAGGCTCATACATGGTCATTCCAATGACAGATCTACATTACTGGATCCTTTTGGCATTGAGGGCATTAATAGATTTGATTCTGTTTTTTGTTGACATTGTTGTACCCAAACTTCCTCGAGATACTTTTGTATCTATGCTATTCTTGACCTTGTAGACAGTACACAAGTAAACTCCAACTACTGAAAACACTTTAAAGTTCAATTTGAGTACAAAACAGTCCTGACACACATGCAAAAACATATGCCCAATATCATGAAAAAAAAAAAAAATGGCACAGACCACTTTCTATAATAATGTAAAAAAATGATTATAATTCTGCTTGTTCCTTATTTAACATGTAAATTATGCCATAATTTTGATCAGGAGGAAAAACAAAAAGAGAAGGCATATCAGAGATGCCGTTTGGTTTCAGTGGTAACAAAAACAAAACACACAAAAAATAAAACAATGATAGCAGAAACAATATGCTCTCATGTGTTTGTTTCAGTGAAGTTGAAAAACTTTTCAATTTTAAATTTGTTCATTAGTACCCTCTTCTTTAAATAATGACCTGCAATCATACTTATGATTGTTGTTGCAATATTTAGTTAAAATTGCAAAGCTTTGTTATCAATACACTGACAGTTGCACACGATTGCCTTATCAGTGATGTTATGACTTGGGGTCATGACAAGTTTCAGGTCTTTCACCTAAGAGACCCTATGGAAACAATACCTATTCAAGTAGGTAATCCTGAAGCAAATTTCCACCAAGCACACAACAATGAACATATAAATAATTGCCACTGCTGATCTTGAAATAGCAAGTGACAAATCAGAAATGCCCTACATCACTTCCTCCCAACCAAGATGAGACAAAACGAGAACAAACTTGATGCCCATTTTTTCCCCCCTCTTAGGTCCGACACACAGAAAGACCCACACTTACAATGAGCACTGCTTAACATAACAGTTATGTAATTTGTCACCAGAAAAGGTTTTATGTCCTATGAAATGTTGGTCATAGGAATTATGATCAGAAATGTTTCTGTTCTTCCCCCACTTTTTTTCTCTCCTTCCTCCTTTAATGAATTTCCACAGGTATTTTATTGTTGTAGAGTTTGCAAAGAGTTTATTTAATCAAAAACTTAAAAGACGTAATTCCTCATACAATTCAAATAACAAATTTTCATTAATAGCTGATAGTGTATTCTTTGTTCTGTATTTTCTTTTCTTGATCTACTTATGCTTCTTGATTTTTATTATATAGTATGATTACACTGTCATCATATAAAGTCCTATATTATTGATATTGAACAAATATTCCTATCATCAGCAAGGTTTCATTTTACAGTTGAAAAATCTAGATGTAAACCTAAGTTCTATGCTAACTGTTTCTTCTATTACACTTCTCACTTTGGGAAGTCTTCTGCATCCATACTTCCTAGTCAACTTTGATCTCTAAACATCTAAACAATTGTTATCTTCCGTCTTTTTAATTTTTATTCTTTCATGATCTTCTCTCCTTAATAGTATTTTTTCTTATAGTCTCTAACAATCCGTAACCCCTTGCATCCTAGTGGCTTTATTGATTTGCTTGCGGTGAAATAATTAAACTAAGATACAATATAAGTTTTTAGGCCTGTCTTTTTTATTTCTCATTTCTAATGTGACAATAGTTTTTGGCTAAATTAATGGCATTCATCAGTAGATCTTTTATAATAGACTGGTAAAAATCATTTTTGTGCTATTGGGGACAAAAAAAAAAAAAAAAATGTATATTTATTATTAATATATTATAATCACAATGTTAATAAGGGGTTGTTTCTATTTGAGCTTAAGTCACAGGATTTGGATAAAAGTTTAACCAACAAATTTTAATAGAGAAAAACTTTTTTTCATAAATCTATTTAAAAGAAGTCCCCCCCACTCACCAATATCAAAGGAAAATGCAGAGGTTTTATAAAAAAGCATATCAAAATTGGATGTAGATACAAAAATTTTGACTAAGGAGAGACAAAATATAGAAGGAAAAAAAATAGTAAAGATAAGTAATTTAGATACTTATGTTAGTTGAAGAAAGTCTTTGAAAAGAAATGGAGAAATGACCAGGTGGTGTGGGGGCTTAATTTCTACCATTAGTTCTGCTGTTTGAGTTGAGTAGACAGAAAATCAATCTGGTCACAATGAACTGTTCACTGAGACTTGCAAAAATCTTTCAAAACAAGTATTTGTAGTAATAGTAATTTGTAGAGGAATATGTAATCTATATATAAAATTCTATGACTTCCATTAGTCTGTGTTTCACACCCTCTAAAATAGGCTGACTTAGGAAATATGCCTTTAAAACATTTCAAGAACAAAAGTAAGGACAAATTATAGCCCCATAGTGAGATCCTAATAAACAGGAGGTCAGTTTAATTGTTGATTAACCATTTGAGAGTGGCTGACAAGTTTTTGTATTTTAATGAATAGTTTTTATTTTTGTAATCTTAAATCTTGAATAGTCTTGAATTACTAACCACTGATGATGAGGTAGCCAGTGAAAGTAATGATAGTTCTAGAGTAGTTAAAATTTTGTTTTGCCTATATAAAACCAGCAAATTATTTCAGTCTAGTGGTACAACCAGATCTACTGTTCATATCTTTTCCTTTGTAATGAAATTGTCCAGCATTCACTGCCATATTGTAAAATCCGTAACTCCTTTAACTGTGGCAAAAGCAGCTTGGTTTCAAAAAGTTGAGCCACAGAATTTAAGGACTTAAAATTTCTGCCATTTGCTATATTCTTTTGATAATTTAATTCTCTTGAACTTATTTCTATAAAGTGTCATCTGAAGAATAGGTAATTCATTACTTATGATTACTGAAGAGCAACATTAAAATCAGAGGCTGAGAAATGAAAAAATATATTTGGAATTTAAGATATGACCTTCAGATTGTAACACTTATGCCTACACAAAAGAAATCCATCATGGGTTTTGTGCCAAGTTAAATTCTGAACTTGATCCTTTACTCAGAGATAGAATAACCATTCTATCATGCATGCAGTGAGGAAGAGGAAACCAAAATCTTTGAAAAAGAGAAGAAAAAAAAGAAAAACACTGACCAACTCTCAAATGAAAGCTGATAGCAAACGTAAAATATCCAGATTAACAGCAATCAACAATTTAAGATTTTGTAAATCACCAAGACAAAAGTATGGGTGGGGAAGTTATGGAAGTGTTAACAGAACCAGTTGGCAGAATTTAAAATTAAAATAAGCTAGTGTGGCTTTAACTTTTAGCACCTGGACAGGATTGTAAAATTTAATGAAAATCTGTATATAAGTTGGTAAGTCATAAATTGTATTTTAACACTATGTTTAAGCACATATTGTAGTCTTTTTCCATGTACATTATCAAAAAAAATAACCATATCGTAATTCCACTTGTTCCTTCATAAGCTAGAACATACATTACACCCTGCCAATATCTAATAAATAATGGACTATTCCATTTTGGTCATGTGAGTGGGAGCAGAAACACACACACATTACATATATATATATATATATATATATATATATATATATATATATATATATATAATGAATGAATGAATGAATGAGAGAGATATACATGGAAAGTGGCAATAATATGTTTAACACCTGCTTTAATAAAATGGAAAACTCAATTTTAGATCTTTTCATTTACACCTACATACTACTTTAAATAATGACCTGCATTCACATTTATGATTTTTATTGCAATATTTGGTTATGGCTTAGTCAGTTAAGTGTCATATGTTATACATGCTTGGGCAATCATGTCTCTTGATCCGTGACTGACTAGGCAGAAGATTTTCCCCCCTGAAGTAGGTTGACATTTCTTTCTGCAGTAGACTGGTTGCCACTATGGCTGTAGAACCCAGTCTGTCCTGCTATTCAACCCATAGCTGGAGGGAGAAGAGATGGTGTCATAACTTTTTCAAGAGCATAAGTGGTTCAGGTTATTAAGCTCAAATATGTAACAATGCAACAGAGGAATTTCTATGGATATTTGGTGATTGTGGAGCTCACAATGAGCTTATTTGTTCATTAAATATTATGATACATCAGAAAGGCCAAATGACAAAAACCTAAAATTTTGACTAATATTTCTAGTCAAAATCAACTCACATCTGGTATCTAAAATGCAGCTTAAATTATGTCCCAATAATGCAACAATGGGCACTAAAAAAGGTATTGGTCTGTGAGAGATTCATCTTGAGCAGTTGTTCACAAGCTTTTTTTTTCTAGAGGGGGGGCATGACCCAGCTAAGCAGCTCTAAAATCCTGATGTCCCACTCCCTCTACTATAACATAATTCTTATTCAAAAATTTAATTCCCATTCATGTGAGAGAAACCTAAAAGGCCACTAAGTTAAGTTTCCTTAAGAACTTGAGATTTATGCAATAGAATTATTTAATTTTAGAGCATTTATAAAATATTGTGTTACTAATATAAAAATTATATATATATATATATATATATATATATATATATATATATATATATATATATTTTACTTGCACAGACTTATTAGAAAAAATTCACTCAACTCATTCGCAAATCCCCCTCCTCTCTGTGGAGGTGTGTGCCCCATGTCACAAAGTTTTGTACACAGTCTAGATATAAATGAAATGCAATAACCTTGCTATTTCTATTGATTGTTGATAGATTTGTTTTCTACAGCTTAACATTTTGCACATTATTTAAACCCAGGAAATATTTTTAGACTACAAGAGTTTTTTTTTTTTTTTTGAAGATAATGATTTAGTGATACAAGCCTTACTAATTAACCCTTAGCTAGGAGGAAAAAAAAAGATGGATTCATAACTTTCCCAAGAGCATTGCATGTAAATGAATATAACAAGTCCAAATGAAATTGGAACTTGGCTCTTTGATTAACAATTCCAAACCATTATTCATTACACCACCTGCACATCCATGCTTACACCACCTGGTATTTCTAAATGGTCACTTATCAAGGTACTGACCAAGCTAGATGTTGTTTACCTTCAGTGCTTGTACGAGAATTGGTGTTTCAATGTGAAATAGCCATAAGCATGAATTTTCTAAGTTGCACAGCAGAAAACAATTAACTGAACCTTGTCAAATATATTGAACTTATCCAATAAGCCAGCTATCTTAAAACATGTCCTTTCATGTTACAATAGACTCAAGAGTAATACAGTTTTTATGCTGATAAAGATTGCATTATCGTAAAATGAGAATAGAAAAATAAGAGCAATCAGCTTAACAAGTATTTCTAAAACCTACAGATTATTCACAAAGCCTTTAAGGAAAGGCAACAAAACTAGTAGAAGATAAAATTGGTGCTCTCATTATGATTGATTCTAGTTGATTTCAAATGAAGGCAAATTGGCATTAAGGATTTCTGGATACACAGAAATATGTTTAAATTTATATCCTGCTGAAAATGGGAGAATGACTAAACATTTCTCTCAAAGAATTTGATCATAAGTTTAATTGGATTGGCCAGAAAACACTGTATTAACAATAGTAAATTTGAATGTATCAAATTTTTTGTAGAAAAAAAGTGTATCTCTACACATTGGTGAAAAATTTAAATATATAAAGTTGACAAATTATCATTGCTAACAAAGTCATTATCTGTAGAGTGAGTGGTCATGGTTAAATGTAAAATAAATGACATAACTGTCCAAACAGAAATTTGCAATAAGCAATAACAAAAAAAAAAATTTAAAAAAAACAAAAAACAGTATGCAAATAATATACAACATGTGATGGGTAACTTGTTGCTATTTTATATTTTTAATTTTGCACATGTGTTGTTTGTTTTGATTTTGTCAACTGCACAGTATAGTAAGTTCATTTGAGCACTGCCTGCAAGAAAAAAAGGGGCACAATGATGTAATTCACTTCATCAGAAATTTAGAAACAGCATGTGGTACTGCTTGACATTCATGCTGGAACATGAACATTTCAGGGTGTCATTCTGAGAACACTGCATAGGATTTGGAAAGAGTTGGAGGAGTCTAATGGTGATTACAAAGGTACAGCAGCTCAGAAAACTACTTTGATAAGAACTCCTGAATTTGTTGGTGAGGGTCACAGACTCAACACAGAGGCCTATATCAAGTGCCTTGAGAAGGTAGTGCTGCTCTGAGTTAAGAGGAGGGCTTCTGGAAGAACCTATGTCTGGTAAAAGGAATCTGGACAATGTCACACAAGCAGGAGAACCCAGTCATGGCAGTCAGACAATTTCTGTGACCACATCACATCTTACATCTGGCCACCTAACTCTCTACTGCAATCCCCTTGATTATTGTGTGTGGGCAGTAGTTGAGAACAAAACTCCTTGTAACAACAAAGATGAACTGAAGACAAGGATTATGGCAGAATTCACCAACTTAAACAAGAAGACCATCCAGAAGAGTTACCGGTGATTCTGAAGTTATGGTTGAAGCCAATGGTGAGTTTATCGAATAAATTTACTCTTTAATATTTCAAGATATTTTTGTGTAATTTTGATGTCAGTGTTATTTTCTTTTTTGTAATTCACACAAAAATTTTTCCATTGCATTCTGTATAAAAGGCAAATCAAAAGTAATATGGCAAGAAGTTCACACGATGGGAAGATGAATACTCCAAACACCTTCCTAATCACCATTAGACTCATCCAACTCTTTCAGAATCCTCTGCACTGTCCTCAGATTGACACCCAACACTCTGAAATTGTAAATACATGTCTCTGGTAGTGTTGTAAAAAATCTGAATCATCATTGGAACTAACATTGTGTATCCACCAATCCCAACACTCACTACAAACTTGTCAAAGTCAAGAATGACCCGCAAAGCCTCTTGAGCATTTGTAAGTTTATGCCTGGCTGTCATGATATTGAAATTCAATCACCTACCAATATATTAGTAGAAAATTACTAATTTCAAAGACTTTCCCCACTATATGAAAGCAAATGTGCTCAGATAAATTCAATATCATATACTCTCCTCTCCTGGATAATTGGTATTATCAGATTTGATAATAAATGCACATGTTTGGCTGGTTAAATTGAAACCACATAAATAGAGTGATCCACTCAGAAAAAAAATAGGGAAAATTTTTCCAGAAAATAATTTTTATAGATTAGCATTCATTAGATTTTCCACAAGTCATGACATTTGTCAAGAAACTAAAATATATTCATTTTTTATTGATTTAGAAGTGGATACTGTTCATAATATTGATATAGTGTAAAATCAATTCCTGACCTTTTTATGAAATTATTTGACTTAACTTATTTACAAAATGTCAAGTTTGAAACTTATATAGTCATTTTTTTTTTTTTTTTGTAATGGATGAGAGGTTTTAGGAAACTCATGCACAAACACAGGGAGATATAGACGTACACACTTCTAATTTATGTAAATTTTCATTCTTAAATTAAAAATGTATACATCTGTTCTTACATAAAAAAAGTGTTTTCATATGCAGAACAGCAAGGTACAGATAACTCTGTAAAGAGTCAGGGATCGATTTATATTGTATTACTATTATGAACAGAAACACTTCTAAAAAGATAAAAAAAAATTCAAAATTTTTCAATTCTGACAAAAGCCACATCTTGAGTAAGGTGCGATGAATGTTAAACTACAAGAATTATTTCTCAAAAAGATTTTTTTTTTTTATATATATATGGGTAAGCAAGTTGACTTAAGTAGTGCTGTTAGATGATTTGGTTTATCTATCTAGAAAGGGTTTTATTTTTCGATCATTCAATTTCTAGCAACAATTTCTTTGTACCAGTTACCAAGGTTATGTGAGTGTCTATTGCATATAAGACAAAAATTTGCTTACATTTCCCTAGCAACAGCCTGGACACCAGAAGTGCCTTCCACTGACCAGTAGGTATTATCCACAGTCCTTATGGCCCATTTTTTAGAGTCCTTATCAAATTCTAACTGGAATGTCTCTCTATCTGTCACTTCATCTTGATTGGCAGATACATCCACACCTGTGAAAAGAAGAAAAAAAACCTTTATAAGATTTTCATTTATTTATGTAAGTGTAATGTTTCAGTGTTAGATTTTAAAGACAGATATGTAAGATAAAAGCAATCAACTTCTGATGTTTTGGTAGGCACACACACCATCCTTAGAAAAGAAAAAAATTTAAATGCCACAAATAATAACAGGAAATGAAAAATTTCTTGATAATTTCTTCAAGTTTGAGAGAAGGAGGTCAGTTTAGTTGTTGATTAACCATTTGGGAGTGACTGACAAGTTTTTTCTGTCTAGATTTCTGGGATGAGGAGTTATTTACATAATGAACTATTGTCTTCATTTTTGTTGATATTATCCCAACGTTTCAGCTGTTGTGCATACATAGCTTTCAACAATCTATTAACTATCAGAGAATTTCCAACTGAACCCTTTATTTAATTTAGAGGGATAGATTGTTCTTACTCTGCTAGCCATATCCAGAAATATCTCGATGTCTTGATTTAGCACAAGTAGCACTTATCAGCAGCAGGCAGGTTAGGTTTAAGGTTCCAAGTTCTCCACTCAGAGTTGTCCCATCAAACAATAGCCTTGTGGATTAAAGTGGTTGGCTTGTGAACTTGGTGACATTGTAATTTCAATCCCTGGACCAGGCAGTGTGCACTTGGACTTGGTGGAAACAAGGCTAGCAATAACTGATAACAAAGATGAGGACAATATTTTGGATGCAAATAATGACAAGTTTTTCTTTGTTTTCAACTTACATTTTTCAATAATTTTTTTTTTAACCCAGATTACAGATCCTTCAACTTTTGTTAATACTTCATGTATAAACTAAAACAAAACTAGTGTGTTCAAACAAAAGGTGATAGTAGTACAAACATATTTGGACCCATCCAAACAAAAAATTTCAAACCTCTCTCCAACTTAATCACTGACTTATTAGGAACAGAAGAAGTGACCATACACACACACACACATTTCCAGGTAAAATGAGAACTCAGTGTTGAAACATAATTGTAATTGTGTAGCAATTTTGAACATGTTTTAATAGCAAGTGTGTGTGTGTGTGTGTATATTTAGGCAGCAATTCCTCTATTATACAAGTTTCATTAAAATTGACTGACAAGCTACTGCAGCTAAGTTTTTATTTAATTTTCTTTGTGTTCTTATATTTTTTCTTTTCTGGACATAAATTATGTAGAAATTTTCCAAATGTTTTGTATATCTGAGCAATTTTATATAGTCAGTTTTTAATGAAACTATATATATATATATATATATATATATATATATATATATTACACACGTGTATGTGTCTGTGCATTTGTAGGATGTACAATAGTTTCCAAAAGAAAAGTGAAGGTTTTCTGGTCTTCAGATCTGGTAATTTAATGTGCCTCTTATCCTAGAAAAAAAATGTTGCACAGTTTTGTCTTTCATGTTGGCAAAATGTGTTGTCTAAAAGCTTTTCCACTGTCACACACACACAGAAAAAAAAAGATCTTCAGGCAAGTGTTTTTTTTGTTTTATTTTCACAACAGGGGGTCAGTAGTAACAAGCTAAGAATGTTGATAAGTAGTATTTATCTACTCAGCTTGAGTAGAAAGTACACCTATTCCAAGGTCAATATATATACCAAGAACCAAACACAGACAGTGGCTTTTGAGAATAACCCACTAAAGATGGTATAGAAAGTGCCTTTCTTGGGATTTCTGCTGCATAAATAAGCTATTTTCAATAACTTTTTTTCATATTCCTTCAGACAGTGGCTGATCATGGCTCTCTATAACTTCATGCGTTTTTGTTGCTCAAAGTAGCTTTGACACTACTGTCCCTGTTCTGCTATCTATTCACACACAAACTCCTTAAGTAGGTTACTTACTAGTTCTTCCTGTTTCTCTTGCCTTCAATATGTCCTCTTTCCCAGTATCCCAGAAATTCCAATTGTCCTGATTGTTAAAATGGGATTTATTGTATTAATTTTTCTTAAGATTTACTCATTGCCTACAGATTTTGTCTATGGTAATCTTACCATTTGTCAGTAGAACCAGATCTGTTTCAAGCCTTATCTATCTATCAGGAAGTTGTATAGCATTCACTGCCATATTGAAGGAGATTTGATATTACATAATAGTTCAGTATTTTTCATTTTGTCACTTTGCTTAGATTCTGGAATGAATCTGTCAATATTCCTATAGACCCCTTATAATCCATTGGTAAGATGGAAGTTCCACTCAAACAGCTTCTTCCAATGAACTGTTGCTTTGTGGAACTTACTCTCAAGAGGATGCTTCTTCAATCGCTATAATCTTAACCTTTCAAGTATAAGGTTAACATCTTCCCCACATATTCTTACAAACAGTGCCTTTTACTCTGTAACCCAGTACCTTGGACAGAGTGAACATCATTGCAATAAAGAAAAAAAAAAAAAAAAAAAAAAAAAACAACACTATCACATTATCCTTTGCCAATATTTTAACTAGATAGTTTCTTTGCCTGTTTGTTTTCGATGTCCACAATACATAGTTTACATTCTCTCTTTTGTCAATAGCCATGCATTGTTGTTGTCTTACAGTTAATATAATTTCCTTTATGCCCTTACTAAAGAGATATTTCAGCTTTCTTGCCAGGTTTACCATCAGTTTCACCTGCATATCTTGCATTAAGATTTTGCTTACCAGTAATAAATCTGGTAAGGACTTTTAGTTACCCTGCAATCATCTTGCTAAGTGTTAATCAAATCCAGTGAGAAAACCATTCTTTCTATTTTTTGTATGTTCACTAAAACCATACTCTATTCCCATACAGGTTTTTTGTTCCCATTAGAGATTATGGATTATTTATTAGCTAACTTTGTTTTTATAAAGTGTGTAATTGAGAGTATTAAGCAGGAAAAGTGAAAATGTTGGCAAAATAATGTATTATGACAGGTACTAAAAGTTTTTAAATATATAATTATCTCCCTTGAATCTCATATGCTGAATAAATAGATTAAAGAATAGAGCTTTAAAACAAAGTCATGGCTTTTGTTTAAAAAAAAAAAAAAAAAAAAAAAGAAAAGAAAAAAGTTAAAGACAAATCAGTACCGTTATACAATTACATTTACGTTATTCGGACTATTGTCCTCATTTTGTCGCCATATTTATTACAATGTTTCAGCCGTTGTATGCACCGGCCTTCAGGTGGTTGGAATGTCGAACTGAACCCTTTATTTCACTCACTAGGGTAGACTGTCCTAGTTCCACGTGCCATGTTTAATGGATATCAGTTATCAGTTATCTCCTGTTAATTTCCCTCTGAACGTTCTCCACTGCCTTAACTGGATATTAAACTCACACTGTTTGGGACCTGCCACTGGATCTAACCAACACCTTTATCTACTGTGCCTTGTGTCCTTATACAATTACTGGTTTAACCTTTCAGCATTCAACCTGCCCAAAATTGCTTAGTAAACATTGGCTCTCAATGTTCAACCTGACATGTATATTCTGCTATAATATATGACATCATAAATAATGCAGGAAGTTAAGCAAACAGCAAAACTTTGAGAGTTGGTATTTACGGGATGGGTTTGAGAGTGCAAAATGCTAAATGAGATTAACAAAGCACAAATTACACAGAACTTATTTCGATTAACCATGTTACTTTAAACAATTACTTTGCTACTTATATAAGTGTTAAAACAGTCTTAGGTGGCAATAGCTACAAAAGGGCACTGTTGATTATTTACAGTTAATTTGTTTAAATAATTGCTTGAATCATATGGCAATAATTTTAAGTAAAATGATGCATTAAAATAAGTAACCAAGTAATCATTTTAAGTTCTATGTATATCAGTATCACCTCAAATCATTTGCTTTCCACTCATTTTTTAAGTCATCTTCTCTTCTGCTTCATCAAAAAGAATTATAGTGAGGTGGAGAAAAAAAAGGGGGGGGGAATCACTGAAGATCTACAGGTGTGTGAGACAGGACAAAAATTATGTCAATCAGCAATAAAGAATATTCACATTTAAAAGACTATGGTAACCATAGAATTAACTGCTGCTTTTGAACAGCGGATATTCTTTGACAGATTTAAATAGGAAAAGATTTTTTTTCATAAAAATACTTTGCAAAGGTCTCCAGAACTTCGCAGCTTCTCTCAAAGACAATTTATTTTATAACATCTGGCTCAGTGAAGTTAATATTATTATTATTATGGACTTCAAATCTTTTATAGCATCAGGGCACATTTACATCACAAGTTAGATTCATGAATAAAAGTGGTCAAAATATTTGAAGTCTAAACTACAATTTTCAAGTAGATATTGTACCTTAAATAACCAAGGTTTAGATCAAATTTCATTTTTTTTTCTTTTTTAATTTTAAAACTGAAGTGAATATGAATCATGCCAAAAATAAATGCCAGTTGATATTTCTTAAATGAATTTTAAATGCACAGAACGAGAGAACTGAACAGATCATTTATTACAAAAGTTATAAACTTATTCAATTCTCATGTGTACTTGTAACTGTTATGTAATATCAGTCGTCCTATCTGGCAGTGAATACTGGACAATCTCACAGACTAAGAGACTTGAAGCAAAAGAAATGTGGTTCTACAGAAGGATCCTGAGAATACCATGGACTGAACATGTGAGCAATGACAAAGTTTTAAAGAAAATGGAAACAAAATGACATACTTAGAATCAGAAAGCATGAGGAAAGAGCTTGGAAAATTTGATACTCACATGATAGATTGAAGGCAAAAGGAACAGGGGAAAACAATACATAACCTACCTAGCAACTTGAGTAAATGAATGGTAGACAAGGTTTAGGAGAGATAACAAAAACACAAAATTTTTTAAGAACCACACAGTATAGAAAGTTGTGGAGAGGCATGATTGCCAACATCTTGAAGAGACATGGCACATAACAGAAGTGGAAATAAATATGGAATCTGGTGGAATAAAGAGATTTTCACGTGAAAAAAAAAAGAAAAGAAAAAAGTACAGGAAGTCTTTCAATGG